CTCTCTGACTTACTGATAGCTGACAAGGATGCGATGTAGCACTGTATATGCCTATCGTAACATACAGAGTACTTTAGAATTATCCTTCGGCATTTTCGAAAATAACGCGCCTAATTCCTATTCTTCAGAACGTATTCTCTCTTTTAATGAGCATGTGTGCGAAGGAGCAGATGTTGCTATTAGTCCAATACCTCTCTAAACAGTACCCCATACATTCGATTCTCCATTGCTATATCGTCAAAGTAGGACAGTCAGAAGCGTATAAGGCTTGATTGGACATTGGAATTATACTGATCTCACGTCGAAAAAATAATCGAAATCATGATGGTTATTATCATTTTTTTTTTTTTTTCCTCACTGGCTAAAACTCCAGACATCCTCTTTCCGGTGGGTTGGAACTTGAGCGATTTAGCGGTGCCTGCAGGGTCGGAAGCGAATCTGACCGCCTAAACTGAGGCGATTTGCCAAGGATAGAAACATCTTTGCTCACTAAGCCCTTGGTCGTCTTGATTGTGGCTGGCACGAGTGATGTGAGCATATAACTGGCCTCCAAAAGCCCTGACACTGTCAGCAATGTATATCTACTCCAGGCCTTTAATGTTCACATGAGCTCTCTCCTGAGACATAACTATGCTATAAGGAAGTTCCCCAGTGTGCGCTGACAAGCACAACTCCGCTGTGCATTTCCGGGGCTATCTTATCAGCTGTTATCACTTCCTGCCACCCACCAATAATGTTCCCATCCTGCCACCTATCTTACTGCTTGGAACCAACGTCCCATCGTCGCTGTGACCGGTGCTACGAATTTGCGCGATACGCCCGAGTGTCCTTCTGTTATACTCAGCCATAGATGATATATTCTTCAGGCTGCTTATCAACGTCCTGCCACCCAGCCGCCACTAAACTGATGCCAACCATACCTGTCTTCCCCTAGTGCATCACATTGCGCGTGTGGAATTCCAAAGTCTACCGTCGCCTGTGAAGTGACGGTTATGACTTTGTGCCCTCCCCTTCTAAACTCCTTACGCTATCTTTTATACGAAAGTTATCACTACTGGGTGAAAGCGAGACCATTACCACGAGGCCACGGTGGCACTGCCGAAGCATCGATCAGCAGCGCTTACGAGCCAGAACTCAAACTTTGACCACCCAGATCTCGTCTGGGAGGTCCCCGTAGCACTTTTAATCTGCATATTCGTAATCAGCATTCGAGGCTCTATCGATGTACCTAGGTCTCCATTCAAAGTTCCATGGGAAGCTCACATTCCCTTGTTAGAAGCGACTTTTAGATAAATACAATGAATAGAATAGCAGAGGAATATTGCAGTGTTTATGTAGTCTTCCATTTCTAATAAATAGTACGATAGATACACTCTAGTTCGCTGCGACGGTTGGGCGTGTCAGGCAGTATGAGTGTGTCACCCCGTCAAAGCCGTTCTCTGCCTTCTTGTTGAAGCGCGCATGCGACAAAAAGTGGTAGAAAACGAGTAATACGAACGATATGATACAGTCATATCATTTGCTCGCTTTAACAACTGGTGGAGAACGGGTTTGGCACCGCGCCAAACTCATCCCGCCGACACGCCCAACCGTCCGCAGCGAACTACATTATAGCTTCTTCCCGACTACGCAGCTATAAATAAAATGAGCGCTGGACTCACTACGGCAATAACCAATGAAAGTATCGGCAACAGCACGAGTGCGAACGGAGCACTTGACCACGACCACTGCTCTTTGTGGAAGCTAGTGCTGACCGCCCTCATAGCAGTTCTGTCATCGGGTCTAGTAATCACCTCATTACGCGCAACTGAAAATAAAATAAATCAGATAATGGCAACTATTTCTTTCTGAAAAAGTGGCGAACCCAGAAAAGAACTAAAATCGAGGCTGAACTCGTGGCCTGAATTGGTACAAAGCAGTCTCCATCTGCGCAGCTTATAAGGTATACCAATCGGATCGTCCGGCTTCGCCGGGCGATCCTCCTTCCGCGTGTGAAGTGGATTGCCCCAGAGTTTCTCTAACGTTCGTCAAAAAAGTATTCTTTTTCGAAAATTACCGAACTTTGCCGTTTCACTCGTTGTATATGCACCCCTCCCCAGCTTATTAGTGCTGAGGATTAGCAGAAGAACTACCGCGGGGCCCTAACCGTTTTGTACACCTTATACTGCTTACGGGTGTCTCTCTCTCAATTCATCTACCTACTCGCTGCTCAGTTTCACTCACATTACCCGTTTGTTAATCTGCTTCGGATGCTTTTGGGAATTTTTATCCTGGGCTTTGTCCACTTCGGCGGACGCCCATTGGGTTAGGTGAGCCTGTGTGTGCTCTGCAAGATGCTGGCCCATGCCACGTCTATTCCAAGCACAATCAGTTCCCTCAAAGTGAATTTCCACGAAACCCCAATTTCAGGCGGTCAGACAGACGCACAGACACACAAACAACTTTGGTTAGTGAGTGAACCGAAGTGGGAATATGAATTTGCTTAGATTTTTGTGCAGTAAATAACAGGCAAATAATAAATAAGTAAATATATTGTTGTAAGAATCCTCGATTTTGGTCCCCATCCACTGAGGCACATGTGTCTGTGCCACTTTTATGTGCCTCGGAATCGAATTATGAACTATCGCGGGGGCCCCAACCGTTTGGTACACAATATACTGCTTACGGGTGTCTCTCTCTCAATTCATCTACCTACTCGCTGCTCAGTTTCACTCACATTACCCGTTTGTTAAACTGCTTCGGAATGCTTTTGGGAATTATTATCCTGGGCTTTGTCCACTTCGGCGGACGCCCATTGGGTTAGGTGAGCCTGTGTGTGCTCTGCAAATGCTGGCCCATGCCACGTCTATTCCAAGCACAATCAGTTCCCTCAAAGTGAATTTCCACGAAACCCCAATTTCAGGCGGTCAGACAGATGCACAGACACACAAACAACTTCTGGTTTATATATAGAGATATCTGCAAAATGAGTGAACATCATCACTTAGTTTAAGGACGCCACGGCGATTTTCTTTGGATTAGGCATCGAAGACGCGCCTCGAGCCCGGTGGTCTCATCCTTAGATTCCTCTTCGACAATAGGGCTAACAAGTTCTGAACATACCTGTTTCGCTTTGCCATGACCATGACTGTAGCATAGTACTCTCGGTACCGCGGCTTACATCTAGCTCATTTTCCAACCCAACTGGATCACTTGCTGTTGCAACAGTGGACAGATCATCTTCGAGTGGCGGAGGACTTGAACCCACTACGCTCATATCTCTCAGTTGTTCGGTAGTTTGGAGGTCTCCTTGACTTCTGCTGAAGGCACAAACAAATACGAATTTGTTGGCACAAGAGGTACAGGATGTAGCTGATTATCGATATGATAACAAAAAAGATTTTTGAAACTACGGCAGAGCACTGATCATTACTTTTCCAAGTGAGTTAGTCAGTCTGATGAGAGCAAAATGAAGTAATCGAATAACAACATGTAGGAGACTAGCTACTAACATTATGTCAGCATCGGGAACCACCGACTTTCCCTCATACTTCGCCGCTTTTACTCTGCTCTGGAACTGAGTTATAGCTTTTTGGCTCCGCTCGGCTTTGAAAAGGAGAACGCATTTTGCACCCTCGACAGTTCCTGTTAGAATTTTGCTGGAGAGACGGAGAACACAACCGTGATTTGTAGCTTCGTCACGCGCAACAGACAGAATTCTCCCGTCATTTTGACACTCTACAAACAGCCAGACCGGACAACTGCTTCGGACGCGCCGTCGCTCGCCACGTCCACCACCGCGGCACATTACGATTGTCTTGTCACACACACCTTTTCTAGCAGGTCTTGCACACTGTGAATAGGTCTCCTTCACCTTTTGAACCAGTTGTTTCAATTCAAAAGCAGTGAATGCTAATTTAGTTCCCAACAGAAAGCGTAAGGCGTGGAATGATAATATGAGTCTGCCTGAGCTAGCAGCTGTCTACTGCCGCCGCATTCATAGCCAGCCAATATCGTGGACAAACCATCCCATTACCAGTCCATACATGTTTGTTCGACAGTGCCCACTAAGTATGATTGCTGAAAATGGGTGACTCATGAGGCTGCTAGAAAGGAGTCCTACACATAAATCACGTCCTATATATATTTACCTTTCTCCTAAACTAACATCTTCAATCAATAGCCAACGACTGCGACTGAATTTATACGACTGCGCTCACTCGATTACTTACTCCACTACGCGTTTCTAGTTCTGACATGAAACCGATCTCGACAATGTTCTGTAGCTTTTGAGTCCTACAGATCTCCAAAGCATGCAGCTATACAACCTCACAGTAAGTGTAGTGGCCTATTGACCCTCATCTGTCTAAGCCGTCATCGTAAATTTATACAGCTTGAAATCGCTAGGCTGTAGCTCTCTTCCCATCCCTTATCAGTCATCACTCCGAATACTCAACAACTGAAGGGAGAGTAGTCATGAATTCTCGGAGTTGAGCTCCACACACACTGACCCCCGTTACAGTCACAATAGTGGATCTACTTCAATACATCTCTTTTCCATTTCCAAGTCTCTGTAGCAAACCAGAACCATGAGAAACTTTTGATTTTAGCAGCACCCCTAGTGGAGGAGATCCACCTACACTGGCGCACGCCTCGCCCACTGTAGGGCTACTCCCACACGATCCATCAGCGTGTTAGCCACCTCGTCTATTTATTTACTGATATCCAGAATATTCTACGACTGAACTAGACTTTTGACAACAGTAGCTTCTACTCTCGTCCCCCGCCCATAGTGAGCACTTGGCTCTGGTGTCCCCTAAGCTAGTCTCTGTATTTCAAGTAATGTTAAACTAACAGGAAACTCAATCAAGAGGAAAGAGACTTACCTGAGATCAACCACAAAGGCATATATCAAAGCAGAGGTGATGGGCACCAGATAAAATGCAGTCAACATAGAAATAGGTTTCAAAAGGGGAATACTATCTTCAGCAGTCCATGTAATATTGAATAACTTCAAGTTGTTAGGAGTACCTATATGTGGAAGTGCGCGACGATAGGTTTTCTTCAACTAAACTACCAAAGAACTTACGAGCTGTTGCCCCGGCATGACATCGTGCATCATCCGAATACACAGATCGGAACATCAGTAAAATCTGAGGAACTTCACCTCTGGGCAGCACTAGATCAAGACGGCGTGTGAACTCCATTTCGTGCAGAACCTCATCGCTACCGATTCGGCGCTCGATGTTTCGAATGTAGGGATTCGCCTTTATGTTATAAATGAATCATAAAGGTTATAAATATATAATGAATATCACTGTAATTGTTAACAGGGCAACAAAATGAATTCAAATGCTTATAAATCGCTAGCGGCCACACAGAAATCTAGCACTCGCTCCTCGATCCGTAGTCGCGCTTAGGCTGCATTCATGCTTTCTATTTAGCAGCGCCCATTAGCTACCACCAGCATAGATCAGCGTTGAGGTACGCCATCGACTAAGAAAGTATAGGTATCAATCTAGGAAACGCCAGCGTCTACCAGCAGCGTCAACACTGACTAGGAAATTGTAGATGTCTACCTAGCGAACGCCAGCGTCTATCAGCGTCCGTCACGGTCCACCCAGGTTCTCGAGGGACTAGGGAAGTATAGACAACGATCCGTGAACGCCGGTGTTCATCAGGGTAGAGCAGCGTTCGCGAGTGGAGAGTATGGGGAAGTAGGAGGGTAGCAGACAGCTGGATTAGGTGTCGTGAAATTCGCGGCGTGTGCAACCGCAACTGCCGAAGCACAGAGTCTCCCCAAGCATCTTGATGCATGATGTAATGCATTTGTACGGTGTGGTTGCACGCACCGCATCACAACGCCTAATTGCAGCGGTCTACTACCTTCTCACCGCCCCATACTCTCGACTCCTGAACTCTGCTGTACGTTTGCGCTCGCTAGATCGAAACCCATACTTCCCTACTCCCTCGAAATGCTTGTGCACGATGACGCAAAAGGATGAACGCAGTCTTGGCTTTCTGATAGCTGAGGTATCCTAGTTTCGCTAGCTGCCGATGGATTCTCTAGTCTGTGAGTGTAAGTAGTAGAACTAGAAAAACGCCAAAAGTCCAACAATAACTCAAAGTTGTGAGTTAATGACACTCTTATTAAACATACTTCGCTTCGGGTCACAACCAGCTGAGCACACAAGTCGTCATTACTCATGATCAAAATACGAAGAACTTGTGCACCTCAAATGAGAGAACTATCAGCACAGAGACTAAGACAACCACAACATCCAGAAATGATGAAAGCACCAACCTGCAGTACTGAGTCGATAGGAGAGCGGTCGAACATAACCTGCACGTTGATTGATTAGAAACTTCTGTTTTGGTGTTCCATAAGGCAATCTAAATTGCGAATAGCGCAGCAAAGAATAGAATAACCTGTATCCAATTTCGAGGCTGCAGTCTTTCAGCACCGGCAGTCCAGTAAGTCGTAAATTGCAGCCACTAAATATAGGCTACAAGTGAAAGGACTTTTTGTCAATGCTGAAAGAGGGCCCAAAAATTGAGTGTCCAGGCAATCATAAAACACATCATTAGCCAGTCAGTTGACTGCGCACATTGCTTTGCGGTAGCGTCCACAGGCTACCTAGGGTCCACTAACACCGCCAGCGTCGGCGACTGGGAAAGTAGAAATATCGATCTATCGAACGTCAGCATCCATCAACATCCATCAGCATCTATGAGCGTCCACCAGCGTCCAGGAGTGGAGAGTTCGGGGAAGTAGCAGTGTAAGACTGCTGGCGGAGAATGAAAATATAGGAAGGAGCAGGCAGCCGGATGCGCATCGTGAAATTGCGGGGTGTGCAACCGTACCGAATTATTACACAATATCGTGCATTAAATTGCATAATTCTGTGCTTTAGCAGTTGTACGGTGCGGTTGCACACGCCGCAATTTCACGACGCCTAATCCAGCTGTCTGCTCCCTCCTACTTCCCCATACTCTACCAGCAGTCTGTGCTCCCTACTTCCCCACACTTTCCACGATGATAGACGCTGGTGGGCGTTGACGTTTACTAGATTGTACTTCTACCTACATACTTTATAGTTGTTGTGAGCGCGCGAAGCGCTGATGGTCGCTGGGGATGCTGCCTTAAAGTATCAGCAGCCTAATGTCAACTAGAAATATGGTGTTACATTTCGATCCAGCCCGCTTCTCTACTTTTCCACTAGCATACTAACAAGGGAGGTGTTTCAGGTCATGGCGCGCTTTTTGAAAATGGTTTGTTGCTTGTTGTAGAGGTCCATACAAGGTCACAAAAATGCATTTTTGCTTTCTGCGTTTGCGTTTCTGGGTAGGTCAAAAACTGAGTGAAAAGAATTTGACAAGGAATGGGCGGTTTTAACAACCTTAATGGGCTCCGTTCTGCTTGTAACTTCGAGCATGCATAGTTTATGTGTGGTCACTAATTAGGCCTCAAAATAGATTCGATTAAAGTCAAAATGTAAGTATCATGTGGTAACACACTTGGCATGCACCGACGCAAGAGTGATGTTTTTGTCAGCGAACCCTTCACGACCACTGCCAACGGATCGGATGGCGCAGTGGATAACACGACGGGTTCTGGATGGCACGGCAAGGGGGACTTTGTGGATCGGATCCTCCTCGCGGAAAATGTTTTGCATTTTTCAGCTTTCCATTCATTCGCGTGCCTGTGTGTCTGGCAGTGGAAATAAGTCAAGTATACTCGAAATCCCTGAGATCGGGTAGGCGTGGCTGCATGCTTCAACTTAACTGAAGGTGTCTATGCTTCTGGTGAGATATTTTCATCTTGACACAATTGTTGTCGTGTCTCTGTCCAACACAGAACAAGATGACAGTTGTCCCAGACTGGAATATTCCACGAGTAACCAGTTCCGTGCCATGTTCAAATGCCACGCCTACTCTGGCTCAGGGATAAGGAGTGTATATGCCATTTGAAGGCTGCTTGTGCTGCCCCTCGTAGCTCATGTCAGAAGGGTTATTGCAATGAAATACCATCACATTTATGTTCAGCGGGTTGGATTACCCCTGGGGACTAATTTCTAGCCAAATCTGACGTTTCGACCTAACTTGGAAAATGTGGGCCATTCTATGGACAATTAGCAGCAGGCTGGGGTCCACCCACCATGGATGACTGGTCTTGGGATGGAATTTTCTACCGGTAATCAGGAAAATGATGCAGGCGGCACGAACAAGTGAGCCAGGTATTGTTCTTTGCGAAAAGACATGACTGAAGGGTTATTTCAGTGCAAAGACCAGTCATCACCAGTATGCTAGTCGGAGTATTGGCTATCATCCAGGCGTGACCATCTCTACCCCGTTTTTTCGAAGTTGAGTCAGAACCTCGGATTTCCTCAAGGTGGCGTTTCTAGGGGTTGTTTGACCCCCTGAACACGAATATGATATCTATTTCGCACGGAGAGAGCTGTGAGTCGCGCTACAGGTGCAAATTCACTGCGCCAGCCCACCCGCAAGAAGAAAAACAGTGAAGGAAAACCTCCATAACTCCGCTCAGAGAATCGTTCCGCAAATTTTGAAGGTAGTTTCGAGTTCACTGTGTCAAGACGAGTACAATGATATGCACTCACTGCAAATGGCCAGGTTGTCCTGGTGGCCTTTCCTGGATGACACCTTACAAACCAGCACACTTGTGTGGAGAACCTTGTTTCCGGAAATGTTCACGTCTCGTTGCGTTGATACAGATGCAAAACTGTTGCCGCAATGAGGATCCGAACCGAGTCCCGCATTGTCGTGCCATCCAGAATCCATCGTGCTATCCGCTACGCCATCCGATCCGCCAGCAATGGTCATGAAGGGAGCGCTGACAAAAACATCACTCTTGCGTCGGTGCATGCCAAGTGTGTTACCACATGATACTTACATTTTGACTTTAATCGAATCTATTTTGAGGCCTAATTAGTGACCACCTCATAAACTATGCATGCTCGAAGTTACAAGCAGAACGGAGCCCATTAACATTGTTAAAACCGCCCATTCCTGTCAAATTCTTTTCACTCAGTTTTTGACCTACCCAGAAACGCATAGCAAAAATGAAACC